TATATATTTATTTATATATAGATCAAAGCAATTAGTGTTGTCTAAGTGTCACTTGGATAAGTCTTCACGAGATGATCAGACCTCTTTGATGTGCATATATAAATGTTAAATATCATTTTAAAAAATCTAAACTATCAGATTCACGAGTTTTCAACACACTACCATGATATGATGAGAAGTATTACGTAGGTGAACTCCAATACTAATCCTACTTTATAATTATAAAGGAAAGTAGGGCTGGGATGGAAATTAACGGTCGAAATGGGATCTTGCTGGCAGCTTTGCTGGAGAGAGAGGGAAAATTAAAAGGAGGAGGGGATGGGCAAATTGAGGGCAGAGGTAGGCAAAGGGCTGAGGCTAAAAACTGAAAAGGAAGTGGAGCCCAAGGTATGCTGGTTGGGCAAATCTGCAACATTTACTGATGCACCCTACAGTGCATACATACAACCTCTTCTGATGGATAAACTGTAGGATGACAAGACATTTCAATCAGTCTTTGACTCTCTCTCTCTCTCTCTCTTACACAACAGCTGTTGTTGTTAGTGAATGGATGAATCCACCCTCACTGCAATTGTTGTAAGTGAATGGATGAATGCATTTTGCCTGCCAAGATAAATGTATGCCAAATTCTTCTTTTGGCTGCCTGCGCTTCATAGAATTAAGGGCACTCTTAATGAAGGCATCACATATGATCGTACCTTTGATTACACGAATTTGTTTAAGATCAATACAACATACTTTCTTAAATCATGCCCTTTAAGTACAATGGTTGGACTTAAGTCTTAAGTGTTTGGGTGAGGTGATCGGAATTTCAAATTCTACCACCATTATGAATTCCACCAAAAGCGACCTGATAGCCGCACGCCTCATTTGAGGGGGTAGAATGTTCACTCAGTCTGAGAATCGAATCCTCAGTTGCTAACAACTAATTCATATTGATTTTTTAATCATTATCTTTGTAAAAAAAAATATAATATACTTTCTCTGCTTTAATTTTTTAATTATAATTCTAAATTTTTACACGTAATTATAAATAATATTTTGTACATACTAAAAGAAATAAAGGACAATTCTTTTTGTGGGGTTACTAACGCCTTTAGATACTGTTCTACAATAACGTTCAGATCATCAACCAAATGACAGAGATGATATATACCAGAAACTACAGCATTTATTCACAATCAATATCTTACCCTTTTGCAGGGGGGACCATTCCTAACACAATTCGTCCCTCCATTCTTCTTTCCATTTATAAACTAATTTTCAATTTTCATGGTTCCTTTCTACGTACAGCTTTTTCAAACATAATTTTGCTTTTCTTACATCATGGTAACTGTGTTAGTACCATCTCAAAAGCTTAAATTTTTAACTTTTACGGTAAATTAGTAACTTAGTTTAAATTTGTTTTTCCATATTTCAAAAGTTAAGTTCGTATATGCATGCATTTATACTTGGCTGTAGTGGTCGTACGTGCCCAGTGATTCTTGATCCTAACCATGTCTCGAGTAACAGGAATTACCTGTCTTGTAAAATCCTCCTATTCTCAAATAAAATAAATAAGTAAATAAAAAAGAAGGAATAAGTAACAAAAAAGAAAAAGACTAAATACAGAACAGAAGGCTCATTATTCTTTTACTGTATAGTTGAACACAGCCTTTTACCTGCTTAAAATCCCTAGGTAAGTACCCATGAATATAAATTTTTTTTCCTCTCTTTTTGTTTATTAGAATTTTTTCTTCTCTTTTTATCATTAGTTAGCAGAAAACATTTTTCGATGATGTTGTCAGGGAGAACATAGCATCCCACACAAGAGAATGTACATATGATTTTTTATTCTACCTTGTATTCATATTCCAATACACAAAGGAGACAGCTTTGTCTCCCTTGGCTCGAATCACTACATTATTTTTATACTGTTTTTGAATTTTGTTCTCAAAGATATTAACCTATTCCATGAAGTTGTGTTTATGAATGTATTCAAAAACTATTGCCTTTTCATTTAAATAATAAAGATCCACATTCATTTTTTTATAAAAAAAAAAAAAAAAAAAAAACTCCAAATGTAAGATAGGATGAGCTTTAGCCTCTACTAGTGATCTTAAATTTAAATTTTAAGGTATGATTTGAGAAGAATAAGAAGAATTGCATAAATTTATGTTTAAATATTTAAAGAAACGCTAATAACCTAAATAATTCAATGGTAATCTCTTTTTGCTGAAAATAAGAGATTCTGAATTTAAGTCGTATGATATACAGGTAGGATGAAATAAGGAATGGGAGAGAATTGTCTCTTATTGTGCAATCAACATCAAAATATATATATATATATATATATTTAAGGTAACATATTTGCTTTGACAAATTGGGTATTAACTCAAAAAAACTAATTTAATATGTACTCTCCCTCTTACACTTTGTAATTCTAGTTGCACTAGCAAGCGCACCGCAGAATGAATTTGGCAGTGACCAAGAGGTTCAAATCTTGATTTAGAAAAGGAAAATTTCCCCCATCCCCAAATTTCCAATGTTAAATATATATAAAAGAACTCTGCCTACCATACCCTTGGAGTGCGTTCGCATAACATAAGAGCGCACCATGGTCCATTCTGCACGACTTTTATAATTAATGGACCAAATCTACATGACTAGGTATGATCTTCTCCTCAAAGTATATGAGACAACTTTGTTTCAAGAGGCCCCTACCAAGGAAAAGAAAAAGGGGGGGAAAAGGCAAAAATAATCTTGACCCATGATCACGTACAATGGAAAAAGAAAGAAAAAAAGGATAAATTGATCCCATGGTAGTATATTAGTAATACATATAAGATTAAGATATATATACATATATATATATATAATTGATAAAGATATAACAAAGAGAAGAAAACAAAAATCCTTCTTTTGTAGTGTACCTAGAAATCTACTTTCGCCCATATATATGCTTTGTTTGATAGATGATAGATCCAATTTCTTATGCTAAAGTGACCTAGCTTTGGTGCTTGGGGAGATTCTCCAAGTTGTAGGTAATTTGTGTGTAGGAGAATATGGAGCAAAACTTCAAGGTGAAGAAACAAAGCATATATATGTAGGCATAAGTAAAACATATATAATACACACATCCATGAGAGAAAGTGAGGGGGCATATCTATCTATTATCAAGGCTTTTTATTCTGCTCAAGGTTGGGAAAAGTTTGTGTGTGAGGTTCATGGCAAATCAAATCAGATGGGTGTAATCCAACCTTTTTTTAAAGGTAGTGTTTGAATGAAAAAAAAAAAAAATCTAATTGAAGCTTTACTATTGCAGAATATCCTATTAAACATGGCCAACTTTAAACCCAAAGAATAAATTCATACTGATACACATATATAAGGTTAGGTTTAATTGTACTTTTGGTCCCTATAGGGTAGAATAGGTAACTCCTTTTGTACCTTTTACTATTACTGTTACTATTACTCTTATTATTATTATTATTATTAATTTTGGGTTTTTTTTTTTTTTTCTGAGCAAGACAAGTGTACATGGCCAACAGGTTGAGCCTGGCCTAGGACCAAACCGGTCTTGGTTAAGCTTGACCTAATATCAATAAACAATCTTAAAGCTAGGACTTGGTTGTAGAGATTGGCCTATATAGCAAGCTGGCCCCAGGCCAGAATTTTTAAAATTGGACCTAAGCGAGAATCAAGACTGGTTCGTAATCGGTTTGGACCCAAAAATTTTCAAATAATTATTTTATTTCTTTTACCTTTTTGCACCCTGTAGTTAGCTTTTAAGAAAATGATTAATATACATTTTGATTTAAAAAATTCATTAACACTTATTAAAATTTATAATTTTAAGTGTTTTCATTTTTAATGCTGAATTATAAAATAATAATATTTTAATAACTATTTTAAACTAAAAAATATTTGTATCAATGTCTTCTAAAAAATATTAATTTTATCATCTTCAAGTAGTTATCTAATAGTTAACTTTAAGAGTAACTTGTCTAAAACCAATCTTCTAACTCGAAATCTACACGTACACTGGACCAAAAATCGAGAACACCGGTTCGGGACCATGCCCTAAACCCGAATGCCATCACTAGATACAACGGAATTGTTGAAGTTTTGTGATTAATCAAATCAAGCATTGACAGACCAATAAAAAGGGTGGGATCAATGCTTTGGCGGACCGTCATGATCAGTAGGACCATTGGAAAATGATAATTTTTGTAGGATTATCATTTTTCTCTCATAAAAAAAAAAAATCAGCAGGGAAAATAAAGGAAGAACTTTTTCTTTCAAAATAAAAGCACTTTCACCAGCTTCCTAGAAGGATCCTATCCTTAGAATGGATTCGCAATCGTGTAACAAAAAAGCAAGAAAGGAAAGGCAAAAAGAAAAACCACAGATATTTTCCTTTCTTTTTCT